CGCTTTATGTCATTTTCGATGACACATGTTTGTTTAACTTACTCGTTCTGGTAAGCCTGTATGAATAATGGATCTCGTCTTTGTTGACTTAACCGTTTAATTGAATTTGAATTTCATAATTCAATTTTATCTAAGGTAAAAACAATAGTGTCATCTGTCCTTTTTGGTATCGTGACCAAGATGGGAACATTTTAACCTGATCAAAGTCATTATGATAAATTGTATTTGTACCTCGGATTTCATATTTGATACATCAAAAGTAGACAAGGATAGATCTTTAAAAAGAAAATTTCCTCATTTATTGATATCAAATTGCAAACTACATGAATTTGCCGGCATATTCGGCTTTAATTAAATCCCTAATAGATAAAAATATAATTAAAATAGTACTGCGAATGGGTGAAGGTGGATCCCGAATTTAGCTGTAGTATATCTTCAGCTTATCCGCATTCCAGGTTCTCTTAATTCTTTTGCCTTCTATCGTTTCTAGGACGTAAGCTCCTTTTCTGAGCTTCTCTTTAACCCGACATGGGCCTTCTCAGTTCGCAGCGAGCTTTCCGTCTCTGGCATTTTTATTGCTAATATCTGCTCTTCTGAGTACCAAGTCATTTTTCTTAAAGATTCTTGGTCTCACTTTCTTATTATACTTTGCCGCTGTTTGTTGTTTAGTCATCATATTCCGGCAGTGAGCTGTAACCCTAGCTTCATCCACAAGGTCCAACTCTTCAGTAAGCATTTTACTGTTTTGTTGTTCTCCCTGTTCAAGACTATTCAGTTTTCTCCAAGAGGGTTCTCCAATCTCCACCGGAATCATGACTCACATCCATACGTTAGTCTGTAAAGGGTTTCCCCTGTTACAGTTTGGGTACTTGTTCGGTAACCCCAAAGGACAAAGTATAGCTGCTGAACCCAGCTTTCTTCAGCATCAAACATTCATTTTTTGAGGCCGTCCACAATCACTTTGTTGGCTGCTTCGGCTTGCCCATTCGATTGTGGGTGTTCTACAGATGCGAAGCGATGTGTGACTTGTAGATCTTTCATTAGCTGCTGGAATTTCTTATCAGCAAACTGTGTTTCGTTATCAGTGACCACCTCGGCTGGGATTCTGAATCTGGAAACAATGTTCCGTTCAAAGAACCTTTGCACTCTAGCCGAGGTGATTGTGGTGACTGGTTCTGCTTCTATCCACTTTGTGAAATAATCCACAGCCACGATCAGCCACTTAAGTTGCCCTTCAGCAGCTTTGAAGGGCCCTAGTAAATCTATTCCCCATTTAAAGAAAGGCCATGGAACGGAGGTGCATTTCAGCTCCTCAGGTGGCGAAAGGATTAGCTTGGCATGCTTCTGGCAGCTATCACATTTCTTGACGTGTTCTTTAGAGTCTGCCCCCATTGTCAGCCAGTAATAACCAGCTCTGAGGGCCTTTCTGGCCAAGGCTTTTCCTCCCATGTGATGGTCATTGATTCCTTCATGGATCTTGGCGAGTACATATTCCGCTCCTTCCAAGCTCAAGCATTTTAGCATGGAGTTGTGCAAACCCTTTCTAAATAGCTGGTCGTTCACAATTGTGTATTGTGCCGCATCTCGGACACACTTTCTGGCTTCCAGATGGTCTTCTGGCAATATTCCTTTCTCCAGGTAATCTATTAGGGGTTTCCTCCAGTCATGTGCCGAGGTTATCACCATTACGCAACTCGGCATTGTTATGCTTTGTTGAACCACGGTTCTGTGGTTACCCAGATTTTTGGTGCTTGCTAACTTTGACAAGGTGTCAGCTCAGCTATTCTCCCCCCGAGGGATGTGAGTAACCCGTACCTCATCAAAGTCGGCCATCATTTCTTGAACTCGACTCAGGTATTTCATTAGCAAAGGACCTTTAGCCTGGTACTTTCCTTCTATCTGCGAAGTTACCAGCTGTGAGTCACTGAATATTTGAACCTGTGCCTGCGTTGCCCCAGTTAGCAGGAAGAGTTGAAAACCACGCCTGCGTTGCCCCAGTTAGGGTTATGGTAAATATCCGGGATATGAGGGGTTCGTCAATTCCTCGGATGTACATGTCCGTGTCGAAAGCATCTATATGGACCTGTGGGTCCTGGCTTCCATCGTACTTTGGCAAGCGTGCTGACTCAAAGTCCGCCGGGAAGGCAGCGTTCAGTATTTCACCAGTAAAAAGGTTGTTGTTATACTGCCCCCTGCTGTACTTTCTTCTGTATCCGCCGGGTTCCACTCGTCTTCGGATGTTTTGAGCATTCTGGTCAGGATGAGTCCTAACCCGGTCCTCCTGGCCGTTAGCTCGTGCCAGATGGTTTTGAGCATTTTGGCCATCAGCAGCCTGGTTTCCCTGGTTCGGGTTTGCTGCGCTCACGAGGTTGGTCCTTTCATGATTTTCCGCATGGGGAACCCGGTTCGGCAGAATCAGGTTTCGAGTTCCTTCTCGGTCATTGGCAGGTTGGCCTTCAATTTCTGTTGCTCCTGGTCCAGTCAGCTGTGTTAAGCGCTGTTCCAGGTCTCGCATTCCCCTATTATTTTCCTCCCTATTGCTCGAAAATCCTGCTGCCGTTGCAGGTTATTACGAGTTTCCAATTCTGCGATTCGTTCCATGATCGCAGCGAATGCATTATTAGCTAACCGAGTATCCGGATCGGCCGATTGAGCAATACGCGCAGCAAGATCTCCTGGGTGCTGGGAGAGGTTGTTCCTTATTGGAGCCGTGACTGCATCAGCCCCCCTGTCTCGACGCATTGGAGTAGACGCGGTGTCTGAGATGTCGTCCTCAACCTGGACGTGGTCATAGTCCACGTTGTTTCCTATCTGGTTCTGAGGTTGATTTACCTCTTCCAGGACTGGATCCAACAGTTGATTCTGGTTCTGGGGTGGCTGCTGGCTACTGCTCCTCGTCTGGATTGCCATCCTTTGTCAGGTTGGTGGGGACTTCCAATTCAAAGAAGATGAATTCCCCACAGACGGCGCCAATGTTCAGTCCTTGAGACAGAGATGTCCAACCCAATAGGCTGGTATGTTTATCTTGGATCTAGTACCCTCTTCAAGGTATCTATGGATGAAATAACCTTGAGTCAAGCAGATCACTGTGCACAGAATACTATAACGACGTTAGCCAATGGGGTGCGTGTGTGCGCACACTGACAACATAACAGTAAGAAAGAGAGCGTAACGTACCTTTAGAGTTTACCTTGTATTTATAGAGGTTACCTATGGGTAGCGTGGATGGACCTTTGGTGCTTTTGGTGAGAGTCCAGGCCTGCTAGCTATGCTGTCGTATTAGGATTAGTATCCTTGATGGATATCTATCTCTTGTTATATCAATCCGTATCTTAGATTGTCCCTTGTTGGGCTTACCACTTTATGGGCCCATTATACGAGTCCATAATACAAACATATTAAAAAACACTTGTTAAGGAAAGAAGATATATAAAATATTAAATAAAAATAATTTAATATATAAAAACTTTAATTTTCTTACTGGCGCATGTTATTAAAGACCTTAATACAACATGAATAGCTTTTAGCTTTATTCTATAAAACAACCTTCAAATTCAATGATTTTTTAATGAAAATTGAAAAAGACATATGCTTCAACAGTTTGTGGTGTCGTGGGAAGCAGTGATTGAAGACATGCATGATGGATCAGCGTTGTAATTAAAGAAATATAAATATGGTTCGCGTTGGATTGACGCAGCAGGCAAAGAATCTGAGGGACCCAAATCTAAGTGGCAATACCATATTTTTTAGTGGCTGTTTGAATACTTTTTTTTCTTTTCTTTTTATAAATAAAAATTAAGCTAAATAAATTTTGAGAAAATTTTTTATAGATTTTTTTATAATAAAAAAATTAAAAGCCAAAAATTTTTAGGAAGAATTTTTTTTTTAAATAAAGAGCCATAAAAATAAAGAGATTCTTTTAAAACTAAGCTAAAATTTTTATATAACTAATAAACTATTTTTAACTTAAACTTAAAAATAACTTCTAACTATTTTTTTTTTTTGACTTAAGTAATTTATGCTTTGCAGCAAATATCCAAATTCCCCAGACATAAATGTCAATTGTGAATTGTCAACCACCAAGAAATATATTCTATTATTATCTCTTTACACTTTACGCCAGCCGAATCATGAGCCAGCTATACAATTAAAGGCATGTGTAAAATGTACAGAAAAGAATATCTAAAATTTGTGGAATTTTTTACAATATATATGACTGGATTTCATTATTTTAATTTAATTAAAATATAATTATTTAATTTTTATTTTTATTTTCATTTTTTAACACTAAAAAATAATCCTTTCAGTTTGTAGATCTTAAAAAATTATGAGAAATTATAATTAAAATAATTTTATAAAAATGAGTTGATATTTTGGTCAAGTAAAAAATGTTTGTCATTTTAAATGACAGAAAATTATGTTATTTTAAGAGAGATACAGACATAGAAAATTTGAATTTTAAATTTAAAAAAACTATCAACTTTCTCTCTCACTCTCCCATGATTTCTGTTTTTCTATGTCTATTTCTTTCCTGAAATAACATAACTTATGTCATTTAAAATGACAAACAACAAACCTGTGGTCAATATATTTTCTGTGACTGACTATGAGTTTATCCTATGGTGCCGCAGTAACAAATTTGACGCCGTGGCAGTTTAGAAAATTTTTCTACACCGTGGTATTCCGATAATTTTATCTTTTTGGGCAACCGTGGTAGTACGGTCAAAGTCGCGTATGGTTCCTTCTTGCGGGATAAGAATTAAGAAGCGATGCCGTTTATTACGCACCAAGCCGACTCAAGGCGAGTCGAAAAGCACAAGCCACTTCAAAATTCAAAAAAGTAGCCTTATTTTGTACAAAAAAAAAAAAAAAAAAGCAGCCTTAGTAGGTAAATCTTCAACACGTATTTGAACCAAACGTGACACGTGGCACTGTTAATTGGTCCATTCACATTTACACGCTCTTCACACAGTTCGCGTGACATAAATTCAATTTCTGGCACACAAAAATTCACAACATTTTTATTTTTCTTCTTTCATTCCTTCCTTGCACAACCCTCGCTTCTCGCACAGAGAAGACAACATCGATTCCTATATCTCCTCCCTCACAATCGGTGGCTGTTATTTTCCATTGTTGCCCTTGCAAGCAGAGAAAAAATGGTTAGTTTCTCCAGTCTCTTCTCTCTCTCTCTCTCTCCTTTGTTGTTGTTTTTTTTTTTTTGGTTCTTTGTTTTTTCCTCTGCTGTTCTCCGTAACTGTGAATCCTCAGAAAACATAGAACTGAACTGATGATTGATTTGGAGTTTTTTTTTGTCCGAAAAATCTCGAAATTCATGTGCAATATTTGTTCGTCGATTTCTTTTTTTAAAACAGTTTTACTGTTTCTGTTTTTGTCGAGTTTCGGTTGGATTCATGGCCGATCTGATCATCAACATCGAAGAATGTAGAAACGAAGGATTATTCATGAGTTTTGTGTTTCGCTAATTGTTTATTCGCTTGTTTTTTGATGATAGATCTGATTTTGATATCAATTCCAGTGTCTAATCTTGTATCGCTTTGTAGTGTAGCGATTAGTTTAACTGAATCATTTTGCGGACTGGAAGTTCTATAGATCCGCCAGTGTATTAGGACCATCCGATTGTGCTAGTTCTGTTGTTCACCTTAGATGTTAAAAATCCGACTAGCAATTGTGGAGCGAAGGTAATCCTTCTAAGCAGCTTTAGGCTGTTTCCTGGGTGGAGTGAAGGTAATCCTTGTAAGCAGCTTTAGACTGTTTCCTGGATTCGAACCCATGATCTTTCAGTCATGGAAAAACATGACTGAAAAACAGCTTTACCCCCGCTCTTCGCTCCTATTTTCGAATTTAATTTGTAATATTTTAGTGACAATTGTAGAGCTTGTGGTTTGCTCGATCTTTTTGGAGCTTTTTGTGCTACAACAAATGTTTATTTTTTCTATGTATAATCACATGGGCTTGCCGCTTTAAATGGGGATTTAATGAAATTTTAGTTTTTGGTAGAACTCAATTGCATCTGTTAATTAGTGTAGTTGACCCCATCACTTGGTTGCTGTTGTTGTTAATGTTAAAAATTATAATCACATGGGCTTACTGGTCTGTTTGTTTTTGGCACTGCAAGTGTGTACGGAGACATTTCCTTGTGTTAAATGCCAAGTTCTTGTTGATGTATATGTTGTGTGTGAAATTTTACAGGCAAATGCAGCATCAGGTATGGCCGTCCATGATGACTGCAAGTTAAAGTTTTTGGAGCTCAAGACGAAAAGGACACATCGGTTTATCATTTATAAAATTGAGGAGGAGCAGAAGCAAGTTGTTGTGGAGAAGTTGGGTGAGCCAGCTAATGGTTATGAAGACTTCACCGCCAGTCTTCCTGCTGATGAGTGTCGATATGCTGTTTATGATTTTGATTTTGTCACTGCTGAGAATGTCCAGAAAAGCAGAATTTTCTTCATTGCTTGGTAATGTTAACTTTCAGGAAGCAATCCTCTCTACTTTTAGGTTTCGAAATTCCATTTTTTATATTTAATTTTTATCTGTATTAATTTTGTTGCTTTTGTTTGAAGGTCCCCTGATACATCTAGGGTTAGGAGCAAGATGATTTATGCCAGCTCCAAAGATAGATTCAAGAGGGAGCTTGATGGAATTCAAGTTGAGTTGCAAGCAACTGATCCTACTGAGATGGGTCTTGATGTGTTCAAAAGCCGTGCCAATTAAACAACTGTGATTATGAATAGTAGGAGTCGTGATGGGGAGCTCCCTTCAGCCTTAGTTACTCAAATGGAAATGTCTAGTTTGTGGAACGGTCGACTTGGCTAATTCTGGACTCAATTTTCCAAGTTTTGACATGAAGTATTCTGCTCCTTCAACATGCTTCTCTTGTTCCAGTGTACCTTGTGGTTTGTGACTTATACAATCTGTGTTTGAGTGTCATTATAGTCCTGTGCTTTCTAGTTAATTTTTTAACTGTCTTTTGTGTGATCGGACAAAAATTTGGGATCAGCTATTGTTGTAATATTGACACTTGCCATTTTACTAATACCTTAAGACTTCAATTGGCTGAAATACTTTCTTGAAGAATGGTTTGTTAAAACCTATTATGAACTAAGTTAACCCTGACAAGATCGAGGTGTTAGTTTTGTGAATGCAAACATAATTGCATTGGCATTTATGCATTACAAAAAATAAAATTAAAAACACTTTATTTGTTTTAGCTTGTTTTATAACATTTATAAGATTTAATTGTGCCTATATTAAACGGTGTATGATTGCCTCTTTTTCCTCCCCGCTCTCATGTCTTGAGAGTTTCCGGTACATTGGCTGACTAATAAGGCATCTTCACATTGGACTGGAGAGTTTGTTTATATTTGTACCGAAAGAGTTCTTATATATATGGGGGGCTGAAATTATATGAATGCAAAAGCTCATGATTGAAAATATATATTGAAGGTAACCAGCGTAAAATCTACAATTTACTGGATAGACAACTTTGGCCCTCTAAATTTCTTGGGAGTAATTTTTTATAACTAAAAATTCAAGATTATTATGCCATTTGACTCAAGATTAGTTACAAATCTATAATTTTTTTTTCTCTGTTCGGGTTGTGGAAATACGGAAGAGACTTAACTTGCCAAAAAAATAATAATTAGGATTAAGAAATCCAAATCATCTCTCTTGAAAAAAAACGGTTGTACGTTGTTCCTGGACTTCCTTTCCTGGCCTTATTATAGTGTGTTTGGATTTGCGTTGGGGCAAACTAAAATCACGTTCAAATGGAAAATGTGTCTTGATTATTGAGCCATCATGTTTGGGGATAAAAATGCAAATCTGATCTCTAATCCAAACCCAAATTTTGCAAGCAACACTCGTTGTTTTTTCAGCGAATAAAATCCCGTTGAAGGTGTAGAATCAATTTTATACAAAATCAGTTTGCAAACTCAAATCTAAACGTACATTTACGGGGCTGGCCAATTTGGAATTTTCCCTTTTAGGAAAATGGGAGCGTAGCACTAAAAAAAAAAATCGTACAGAGGTATTTGGCTTGATGGGCATAACATTTAATTTTTAAAAGCTGTAAGAGGAGGAGAGAAAGAGAGAGAGAGAAAGCAAAAGGATTAAAATCTTTAACTAGACTCAGTTTTTCCCCTGTACGAGTTAAGAAAAGAAGTATCATAACTCATCATTCATCTGGTAGCATATGATGTTCCTCTTGTGAAGGAAAAAAAGGATAAAAATGCATAAATATAAAAAGGACATGAAACAGAGAAAAGATATGAAGTTTGTAAATGATTAGTTGATTACTTTTGGGGAAAGAAATCCTGCAACCCATGAGAGCTCATAGGGGAAAGCTTTTGATGTTTATTTAGATAAGGGAGCAAATTCTGCGTTAAACTAAAAAGTTTGTTGTATTTAACCGTAATACCAATGAGTCCAACTTGATTCTTACCCAGCATATAAGGTCAATGCAAACCTGCCACTCATCCTGGCAAAAAAAACATAAATTAAGAAGTGAATGAACTCCTTTCTTATGCTTTAAATCCATTGAGAAACATTCATATGAATGCCAGCTGCAAGTAGCATGTTCACATTTTTCCTTTGAAACTGGAAACTACGAGTCTGGAGAAGAGGTACTCATCAATGAAGCCAGAAAGAAGAAAGCCACTAGTGCTGAAATGTATTGACTTCATAACCTTGAATCCTGGGTTTTGAACTCCCCCATACTTTTCAGCACCTTTACGCAATGAGGTGTTTTCCCATTATACTTTAAAGCATCAGCGGAGTGCAGTTACAGCAAAACTTTTCACCACTCAAATCTTCTGGACTTTTGCCTATCCAAGATGCCACCAAGATTGGCCAATGCATCCTTAAATTTATTGATCTTCAGGAAGCCTCTGATCATAGATGTTTCAGTTTGTGAGAATTTTCCTTTCTCCATCACCATATTGATGAGTTGAATGAGGGTGTCCTCCATGGATAAAGAACAAAGCCCTTCTGCCAAGTAACCGAATGATGTGAACTCTGGCAATAATCCTTTCTCCAACATCTCAACTGTAAAATCAACAGCCTCTTGTATTGGCCCTCCACTATTACAGAGGCCCCGGAAAACAATCTTGTATGTTATAGCATCTGGAGGATCACCCTTTTCCATCATTTCTCTGAAAAGCCTCATGGCTTCTTTAGTTCTCTTCCTTCTAAACAGTGCTTGCATCACAGGGTTATAAGCACGTGGACTCAAGACCATACCTTTCATCTGAATAGATCTGAGGAGCTTACTTGCAACTTCTACTCTACCTGCCTTACATAGTCCTCCAATAAGGGTCCCATAGGTAACAATGTCCGGTTCACAACCATTTGAGTTCATATTTTGCATAATATCAGCTGCCTTCTTTATATCTCCACCTTGGCAGAAGTACGTAAGCAATGAATTATAAGTGAACTTGTCAGGCTTTAATCCTTCCATTATCATCTGATCCATAAGTTGAGCAGCTTCTTCCACTCTCTTGCTTTTACAGAGGCCATCAATGAGGGTGTTATATGTTACTGAACTTCTTGACACCCCCATGAGTTCCATCTGATCAAAGATCTCCTCTGCTTCTTCAATCCTTTTGTTTTTGCACAAACCATCAATCAATGTATTGTACACCACCACGTTCCTAGCACAGCCACTTAACTCCATTTCTTTCAGTAGCACCAATGCTTCTTTCAGTCTCCTTTCAGAACAGAGGTTGTCAATCAATATACTGTATGTAAATTCATCAGGTGGGCACCCTTTCTTCTTCATCTCCTCGAATAGTTCCATCGCAATCTCTCGGTTATTGGTCAAGCAGAGACCTTGTATCAAAGTATTGAATGTACAAACATCAGGCAATATCCCCTTGCTGGTAAGAACATGGGCCAGTTCAGTGGCTGCTTCAACATGGTTCTCCTTGCACAAGGTGCTAATAAGTGTGTTGTAAGTTACAGTGTTTGGGGAACAATCTCTAGAAATCATCTGCTGGAGAATCTCAACTGCCTCATCAACTTCACCCAATCTACACAACCCAGAGATCAAAGAGTTGTATGTATATACATCAGGATCAAACCCATTCTCAAGCATAAAATCCATGATTTCCAAAGCATGCTTGATATGTCCAGTTCTACACAACCCATTCACCAAAACATTGAATGTAACTTGATCAGGGTAAAACCCCTCCTCGGAAACATCTTGAATAAAGCTCAAAGCTTCATCAACTCGACCCTCTTTGCAAAACCCATTCACCAAAACATTAACAGAAACACTAGTCATCAAGCACCCCAACTCCACCATCTGTTCCTTGATTCTCAACGCGCCATTCAAATCACCCTCTTCAACAAAACCTTGCATAAGCGTGGTGAAAGTTTTCTCATCAGGCTTCAACCCATAACTCCCCATGTCCTCAAGCATCAAAATCGCAGGCCTTATCTGATGCGCTTTGCATAGAGCCTTAATCAAAACATTAAAAGTTGAAACATCCGGTTGAACCCCATCACTAACCATCTTCGAATGCAACGTTTCCACAAGCTTAAGCTTATTACCCTCGACAAGAACATTCAGCAAGACATTATAGAAACGGGTATCAGGTTTCAACCCGAACTCATGTTCCATGACATGAAGCACGCCGTTAATTTCGTCGTGTAACTGAAAATTCGCATAGCTTTCGATGAAAATAAGAAAGGTACTTGCATCGATGGGGCAACCCGAGGACTTCATTTCTTTGAGTACAATCATCATGGAGTCAAAGGAACCAACTTTGCCAAGGTGGCGAAGGATTTCTTCGAATATGGATTTATGGGGCGAGAAATTGGGCTGCTTAGAGGCCCATTGGAAGATGCGAAGTGCTGAGGATTCGTCTTTTTGGCGGCGGAGGAGTTCCAAGAGTTGGAAAGGTGAGAAATTGGGAGGGAGGTGGTGGTGCTGACTTGGGGAGGGAGTGCTAGAAGCTGAAGGCACACAGAATCTGAAAGTTGAATTGGAAGAAGAGAAAGAGAAAGAGAAAGTGATGGGTCTTGAATGGGGTGAGGTTACGGTGAACGGTAGAGGGTAAGAGTGGCAGTGAAGAGATGAGAGAGTCATTGAGACAATATCACAAACATGTATACTGCGAAAAAGAATCAGAAGAATGTTGCAAAACGATGGAAAGTTGTGACGGTAGTTTGTGGGTGAAGTTGGATGAGGAGCAGAATAAAATCTGCTTCGGAGTGATAGAGTGACGGGAAAATGTTTTATATGCACTCTTCTTCACATTTATAATTGTTTTTTCATAAGAAAGAAAGAAGAAAGAAACAATAATTTCTTTTTCTAAAAACATAATTGTATGTTAGTTCGAAGAGAAAGAGTGTTTTTCTCATAGATAACTCTATCTCCTATAATCTCAAAATCACGGCATTTTAAAATTGTAAGAGATAAAATAATTTTATGTGAAAAAAAAAATTAATTCCTAATTTTATACATGGAAAAGTTTAAAAATCTCCTATAGTTTTATTTAAAACCACTTATTTTCTTATTGTTGATTTTTTATCATTTATTTTTTTATGATTTTTTTTGATCCAAATGCATTTTTAACATTGTTGTAGCTTTGATTAATATCTTCATTTTGCCCTTGATATTAATCAAATGTATAACTGTATAAAGAATTAACTGTATAAAGAATGAAGTGGGATAGAAAAACTGATTTTAAATAAAGTCATTTAGGTGGTGTTTGGTTCAGGGTATCCAGGAAGATGTCTATGCAAGTGAAAGTGGGAAAACAAAACAGCCATGTTTGGTTCACGGTTTCCTTCAATTTTCCCATCTAAGCGATTTGCATAACTTTCAACATTTTGTAGTAGATAGTAAGGAAAATTCATTGTTACGAAAGCCAATTTGTATGTGGTTTTTCAAACTTAGCCAGGGAAATGAAGGATAGGGCAAATGACATCAGACCATATTACCCTCATCTAAAGCGCGAAGAAAGATAAGGTCAGCAGCGTAAGCTTATCTTCGTTTTGTGGGTTGAAGAGCAAATGAGGAACCGACGAGAGGAAGCTCCCTGGTTTTGCATGTTCGAGTGTGACCCAAAAGAGTAACCAAGGAAGTAAGCGTCGTTTAACAACTTAGTAGCTTATGGTGTTTACTTTCCAGAAATATGTGCTTTACCATTTCCGTCTCTGTTTAAGTTTATTTCACAAAATGCATGGTGGAAGGAACCACATTGTCGGACTTCAGCTTGACGATTGACCCTTTTTTTCGTAGATCCTGCATCATTGCCGATCATTTGTAGTTGCAGAGTAGTGAGGTCAACAGAACCAACATTCACAGCAACAGATCCCGCATCCTTTCCGCTCGAGTAAGTCTTCCTTGGTTCGATCTGTCTTAAATAAGTGATATGAGCTATGTTCGACCGTATTCTTGTCTTGGGCGTTTGCATATTTGATTAAAGGCTTGTTTTTTTTCATATATGTATCTCATTGCATTTTTGGTTATGTATATTCCGTATTTATGTACCGGAAACTCTGTATGGTTAACATAATTATTTTCGTTGTTTGATTATTACATCATAGAGACAGAAATAAAGAATGCGAGATACATCCTATAAAGAATGCCACAAACAAACCTTATGCTGACAAGAATTTAGAAACAACTGCTATGCTTCAGAAACATGTTTTTGACCTCAGAATTGATTCCTACGATGATATCTTATCTAAATCAGCAGTCATATATCCCTCATTTGCTTCTATTCAATACAGCTGTCAGACAAAAATTTTTGTGCCACATTCACATGACCTTATCTTAACCTTCCTATACAAGATCCACCTATGTACCTTCATCAGTCTTCACACCCACATATTCCATATATATTACTATAACCACCTCTTGGAAGTCAGTCCTGATGAGGCAGTTAATAGTTTCCATCTATAGAAAGAAGGTAATAGTCAGTCCTGGCTAAGTGGGTATATAAGCTAGCTTTGGAGTCATGATGACAGGGATATTGCAGTATTGTAATTTTGGAGTATCACAAATGCTTATGGACTGATTTTGTATGGTAAGTGGTACTTACAAGAATTGCCAACAGGTATGTTCATATTAAGTTTGGTAGTCAATATTTTTTATCTTATGGTTAGTGCTTTTATTTTACAGTATTATATGGCAGCAGGTTGGTGATTATGTACTATTTGTTGCTGTCATGTTTGACATTTCACACGTGTGTGCCCTGCGAGAAGACTTTTGGGTTGTCATCTGAAGCAAAGAGTTACCGGACAATATAGATTGAAAGTGTCCGACATCATAGTTATATGATTGACATACACAGTATCACAAACAGAACCATACAGAAAGGGAAATTTGCAGAAATATGTTGCATTAGTAGTTGACTTACTGTTACTGCCATTCATTGGTCATGTGAATCTGTGATGACGATATTAGTAATGCATGTTATCTGTAAAACTCTTGCAGTTACTTAACTATTTCAATGAAGATGATTTTGGATTGTGAGGTTTGAGTATATTGTGCCTGTTTGGTTAATACATGAACACATACACCTTCACAAGATGAATAACTAACACAAATGATGAATGAAGAGGAAATATTTTATTTAATAATATTATGAGCACCCCGAATACAAACAGACAGTTTGGTACAATACGATATGATGGTACCATGCTGATGAGTAATTAAACCTTTATCAGGGATGCCTCTGTACTATTTTTTTATTCATCACAACAAACTGCACGAGTTACCTTCATCAGTACAAGGAAGTAACAAGACTCCATCCATCCATACACTGAAGGGAAATAAACTGAAAATGAAAACAAAACTGAAGACTCAACTAATTTCTCAGACTCCATCTGCACTGCAATTACAGACTCCAACATAAGAGCATAAAATGCAATTACAACAAGACTATTACAGACACCTTTTTTTAAAAACAGGGTTATTTTGGTAATATCAACTTGTTTTCCCATCTATATTTTACCTCCAACCAAACATAGATTTCATAAAAGTTACCTAATTTTCCCGGTAAAGTTTTTCCCAACCAAACAACTTTTTTTTACGTTTTTCTACCTATCTCACTTTCCAACCATTTCCCTATCAATTATATTTCCCTAGTATTTAAAAATTTTCTTCTCAACCAAACGCCCGTAAAGTACTGTGCCTTATACAAGCCCATGAAGTAGAAAGAGATGGTGAACTCAATTTTGAATCCAATGTGTATTCTATGTCCTTAGCATTTCTGATAGGATGTTTAACGATATCATGAAAAACAATTCTGATGCCACATGAGATAAGTTTTTTCTCCTACATATTCTTTATAATTGTGTCATATTTTTATTTTTTTAAGTGATGGAGCCTACAAGTTTGTCTTTATGACATGAGATAACTCATTTCCTTTAACATGAGATTAATAAAATCTATTAATTAAATATATAACCATGTTGAGAATGGAAATGGACGGAAAAAAATCAGTGTAATTAATTTTCTTGAAATCACAAGGGGATAAATGATTTTAGGTGAAATCATAGGAGGTTTTTTAAACTTTTCTCTATATATAATAAGGAGAGATTGTACTTATTATTATTTTTTCTTATTACTTCTTTTATTAAATATTAACCGTTAATTTCTGTCAATTTAACGGTTAACGATCATAATTTATTGAAATTTAATAATTATACTATTTAAAGGGATGATCTCACGTTTAAGATTGGAAATTATACTATTTAGTAATATTGAGTCGAAGAATGGAAGGGTATGCTGATTTCATAAATGTAAAAAGGATAATTCTGAATTGATTTAGTAATAATACTTAGAACACCCGCAATTTATTTAAAGGAAAAATGAGTTATTTCGAAGGAGTTAAAATTGTATCATTTTAAGAGAGAAAAAGATAAATAAAGGAAGAGAGAGGGTTGATAAAAAAAAGTAAAGGTGTGGATCCCACTTCTTTGTGAAAGTGAAATGATATAAGTTATCTGATTTAAAAAAATAAATCCTTTACCTTTATTTAAATAAAAGAATAAAGGGAAGGTACTATTTTTTTTTCTTACCAATTCTTATTATCAATTTTATTATTGTTGAATTAATATCCGTTGGCTCTCACTTGCGTGAGGAGTTTGAAGCTCGGATGCGTGAAGGTAATATTTTTATTCTGTCCAGTTTGCCGAATGGCTTTATGATGAATCACTGCTTGTTCTATTCTATTTCGTTTCAAGGGGAAATTGGATTTCAATTAAAATTAATCTCAAGTTCATATTTATTTCTGCTGCTTATTGGTTATCAACTTATTGTGATTCTATATGGTTGTTAGAACCTCGAGATTTTTCTTGTACCCTACTTTGGGGTTACTTGCTAATGGTTTATTCAGCTCAGCTAAGCAAAAAAGTAGATTTTGATGTATTTGCAGTTTTAACCTCGGTTTTTTTTTTTTTTTTTTTTTCTTTATTCTTCTCGCAATTGCACCATTGTGTACACGTATTACTTTTTTTTGCCTTAACATTTTTCCAATTTTGAGCAGGGAAAATCGGGATTATTCTGAATTCTCATTATGGCTTTATTCTTGAAACCTGAGAACACTCTCAAAAAGGCTGAAGTTTAGTTCAAGAGATGAGTCTTTTTGTGATTTAATAATTGTTGCATGTCTTTGTTTCAAGGATAGAATTTTAAATTTCGTATGGAATGATGCTCCTGAGTCTTGACTCCTCTTGTTCAGAGTTAATCAATGTTGGGCAGAAGCAGGATGCTTTGCAAACGCTTCATGCCCTTATCACTTCAAAATGACACAGAGCATGGCAGAAGACACTAGAAAGGATTATGTTCAAGTATGTAGAGCTGTGTGTTGACATGCGCAAAGGATGGGCTTTGTTGAGAAATATAGTCCCACATTGGTTGTATGTGCAACTAATGTGGAGTTTATAAGGCCTTGGGCACTCCCACCCTTTGAGCTAGCTTTTGGGGTGGTGTATCCCAAGGTTCTTAACATGGTATCAAAGCCTCGCCGCCCCCCACTTTCTCTTGTGGCGTTTCTTAGCACAGGTAGGCTGGGCCTGTTGCATTGTCCACTCTTCAAGCCCAATAGGCTCTTGTGTGAGGGGGCGTGTTGAGAAATATAGTCCCACATTGGTTGTATGTGCAACTAATGTGGAGTTTAGGGCACTCCCACCCTTTGAACTAGCTTTTGGGGTCGTGTATCC